TATATATATATATATATATATATATATATATATATATACATACACACACACACACACACAAAGGATGATTCACTTTTGTGAGTATTTGAAAGACTACATTTTACACTTTATTGTAATTAAGATTGGAAAATAAGCTAGTAAAATAACTTAAGATATAGAGTTTAATATAAAAGAAAATTCAGGTAAATAAATTCATGAAAACAATCGCAAAATAATGCTTAGAACTTTTACCTGAGAAAAATTCCCTATAAAGAAATAAATTTTATTAACACTTACAGGAATGATATACACATATATTCAGAACATTTTCAGTTTAACCTTTTATCTTTCTTGTATTACTAATAAATGAATTTCAATTTTTTTTTTATAGAAATTATGATCAGTTATTTCTATTTACTTTTGTTGTATTTTCCAAAATATATGCAGTATTCTGGGAAGTGAAACAAATGTGGTATGTTGAAGTACATCATTTACAGAGTAACTAAGCTGTAACTTTACAGAGGTGTGTATAATGGTAAATAAACTGATAAAAATGTGAAGATTACTTAAGCTAGAAAGGATTAAATAGTAAGATGAGGAAAGTGCCCAAACTGAATTTGTTTAATACATTTAACATTAATACAATAAACATGATTTTAATGCTAACTTATCTTGATAAAAGTAGGACTTCAAAATTTTTATTGAATTCAATGTACTCAGTCTGATTCTTCGCATGGTGTCACTTATAACATATGTTGCATCATGTAGGCCTGCAGCAATGGATACACCTATGCTTAGTACAGAAATGTTTGAGAAACTGCATGACAAATGATACATAAGCATAACAGCTCATAACTCATGTTCCAGCACTGCACTGACAGAATAATGCTGAAGCAAGTGGATTAGAATTGGCAAAATACTTTATCCATAGGGAATACTATTTACCGAATACATGCCATGCCTTAACTGAATTTTTTCTATGTAACAAATCATGATTTTCTTTGGAGACACAAATATACATTCTATCTTCATAAACATGTTCACCAGCACACAAATATTATGAACTGTGTACTAATTCCAAGAAAAAACTTAAGTTTTTTTAAAGGTACATAGATAGCAATTTGGTAAATCCTCATTGGTTAGCATGTTCACTATGGCTTGAACCAATTGGATAAAAATCATCAAAATATGCGACTGTCTAATTTGCTACAAGAAGCCGACAGATAATACTTCATGTTCACTACCTTGAGTTCTTGCTTTTATTGAAAATGGTGCACCCTATCTTATGGTTATAGTTATTTGCATACTGTTCAAGTCATATTAGTAATAAAAAATGTTTTATAAGTATAAGTGGACTAAATACCAACATGGAACATTATTTAACAAAGTGATATTTTGTCCTCAAAAATGATGAGTGCACATTATCAGCAAAATAATTTTTCAATATATCATGCAAATTACAAAAATAAACAATATATTAAAGGGATTACTTAGCATGTACTATTGTTGAAAAATGATCTAAGTTTTAGAAAAAGTGGAAAATAACTACTCTAAGACTCCAAATACCATATGAAATTATAAAATGAACCAAAATGTTTTTCACCTAACGATGGTACATCAACTGAAGATATTCATAATTGCAAAGAAAAAGTACAGATAATTTAGGTTTTTTTTGTTGTTGTTGGCATTTTACTCATCTAGTATTACTTATTCCTTTAGTGTATGATAAGTACATATTTTCCTTCGGGTATTAAAATTCTGTCCAGTTCTCTTAATTCAAGATGCAATAAGTGTTGTGCATGCTGAATGAAAATCCTACAATGATGACATAATTCCACTTAATCTTACTAAACAAATTAACGAGTTTTAGTTTCTATAACATTAAATTATAAAAATTCTCTCTTTTTTTTTGCATTCATGTTTTTCAGGCATTATTTGTAATCTGGCTTAACATTTTAACAAATATTTTACATGCATCTTACAAATATGTTCCAGTGAAAAAAAAAAGATTAAAGAATTATGCATCAAAACATATTTCCAAGTTTGGAAAATGCTGTTCTTAATGACTTTTTTTTCTATGAACAAGTAATTAACAATGTTATTTTCCACAAGAAAATATTAATTATAAATAAAATAAATCTTACAAGATTTTGTGTTTTGACATCATGATATAATCTTTATTTGATCAAGCATGCCAAAATATGGCTTCTACATTGTTAATCATACAAACATTCACAAGTCCAATTAATCTCTTGAATTTTGTCCCTCCCTTTCCCATAATTAAACAGAACCATATACTGTAGAAATATGGTTTCCAATGTTGAATCAAATACCACTTCATTATTTTTGGAACCAGGTACAAGAAGCTTACAAGCAAGAGTAAGAATTAGAGTTGTATTTCAGTTGGTCCCTAGGTTTTATACAATAAGTAGATTTTCACTTGTCTAAAACAGCCCTTACAGAATTGGCAGTTATCTCCACATGCAGTATTTTTAAATGCCCAAATAAATAATGCATCTCATATTGAACACAAGGGACTGAATTCTGTATGGTTACTTTTTATTAAACAAGGTTTAAATAATGAAGCTACATACACACACACACACACACACATATACACACAAACATACACACATCAAAATGAAAAAGGTAAAAAAACTATTGAAGTTTCATTAAATTATATAAATTTTTAAATCAAAATTAACCTGTTCATGATTATTTCTCATTAATTACTTTTCCAATATTTGTCAGTCCAAAGTTAAGGAAACATTAAGAACAGTAAAATGCAATCTTCCTAATTCTAATCAGTTACTATGCCTAGATGGTGTTAAGGCACCAATCTTGTGCTTCAAGAACTGGTAATTTCAGATCTTGTCTCTAACGTTTTTTTAAAAAGTTGACTTGTTGAACTGTCAAGGAACTTTACAATCTAAACTAAGCAAAGATAACAGTGAAATCTAGCTAAGAATAAACTTAACAAAACACACTGTTAAAACTGTTGGGTAATGTCAAATCACGCAATAAAAAAATGTATTTTCAGATATTTTTTCTTGTATGCTTCAATGAATAAAAAAGGGCTAAATCAGAAAAAGACTTAGAAGACTAATTTTTATAACATCAAAAAGAGGGCCAGCCTTAGGGTAAGGCACCTGCATAGGGCCCCCATGCTACACTCAGAACTGCTGTGTGATTATGCCTGTCACTAAAAAAAGTATTGAGCCTGACAATTTTTAGTGATGTTCTTGAAAAAAGAAAAAGACATAGGACCTGTGTTGTGAACCAAAGGCTGATTTCAAATGGCTTTGGTTCATAACTCGGATCTTGAGACTTTTTTCTCTCCCAGAAGTCACTAAAAGTTGTGTATACATGATAGCATGAGACTTGAAACAATCTCAGATTTTAGTGAAAGCCACAGGATTAGGCTTGTTTATTACACATATCATATTACCACTTTACAAGTATGAGTCCAGATAAAAAGAAGGAAAAAATACAAGCCAAGTAGCAACAAGGAACTTTGCTGCAGTATTTCTAAACAATGCTGCCAATTAAAGATCTGTTTCAGGACGTAAATGAATAAAAGTTTTCACAATCAAATGAAGACTTACAGCAACAACCAGCCTTTTCATTAGAAGTATGAAGTGAAGATAGTTCTGTAACGTTACAGTAACAGGACAATCAGCATGAAGACAAGGTATTTTAAAAAGTGCCTTTAACAGATTAAACCAATCCAGCAATGTGGCCACAAACACCATACAGATGAAAACTTTGGTAGAAAAAAACCCGGCATATCTACAAAATTACAAATATCCACTGGATAGAAGTTGGTGACATTTTTCCAAAATCCACAGAAAGAGAAAGCTCTGAAATGGTAAGCTATTGATTCACTGATGGCCTGTGTATTCTGTAAGCAGTAACCATATATTCTGTTTTTGTTGCAACTTCTTTAAACAGAGCTGCACATACAGACAGTATGTATTAGAATGTGATGGTTTTTTTTATTGGAAAAATGTTAGTGAGCACAACCTTTCAACAACATCATATAGAATGTATTAAAAATGGGATGACTTCAGAAACAACTCGCATTGCCGGAAAAACAATGGAAAGATTCATTAACAGTGAAAAGAAGGAATCGTGTTTTCTAGTGCCTTCTTGCAATTACTGAATTTCCCTCAAAGCAAAACATAGATGTATGAGCCACATAATGAAGTTTTTTGGGTCTGATTGAAATGTTGGCTGGGCACATTCAACCCTTTTATGAAAGAGCATATCAGAATGATAATTAGCAATGAGACTGATGAATCATACATAGGAAAAAAACTGATAAAAAGCATGGGAAGTAAATTGTGATGTTCAAAAGCTAACTGGATTAAGAAAAATAAGTATTATTCAGCCATAATGGATTGCTCATCAGATCAGTCACCAGAAGCAACTGTCACTGACAGATTTGTTAAAAGCAGTGGAGTCCCCAGATGTACCAATTGAAATTTAAGAATGCTTCATAACATTCACTGACAAAGAAGTAAGCATGGGTGAGCCTTTAGCTTCTGTTTTGCATACTAAACTTTTGGCCTTTCCACTTGAAATTGATAAAATACAAGGTCAAAGATATGAAAATGGGCTGAACATGAAGGGACATAAATCAGGTGTACAAGTCCAAATTAAAAACATTAACCAAAGGGCATTCTTTATCCTCTGTACATGCCACAGTTTAAACTTAGCAATGGAGTATACTAAAGAATAATACTCTCCACTGAAAGCAAAGTTGCCAAGAACTTAGAATACTCAGACTTGATAAAGGATTTTACTGCCAGTAAAGCTAGAAAAATCCCTCTATAACTTATGTTATTAGGTAATTAAGGATATATAATGAAATAAGGATTTGATAATGATTGGGAGTTAACTTGTAAATGTCTAAAACTATGTATTGGATCTCAATTTTTAAAAATGGCATTGCTTTTTTTTTTTCTGTAGACTACAAACAACTTCCTCTTTGAATTAAATGTCCAAACCATTCATAAGTAATTAACACTGCCATCTAGCAGTTCACCACCACCTAGGGCCCCACACAGACTAAGGCCAGCCCTGATCAGAGATACACTTAAAAATCTCAATAAAAACAAAGATAGGTACAACATGTATAAATAAATTCTAGAAAACAAAAGTTTCACAAAACCTGAATTTCTAAATCACTAAGTACCACTTTCAGGATAATACTATATGTTCCAGCATAAAGTGAAATAAGATTAATGGGTCTATATAAAAAATCTCTAAACAACTTGGGAATGACACCCTACTGCAAGAAAGGAGGAAAAATAAAATATATATGTTTACATTTGTTGTCCCAATGAGTACCCTAATTAAGGATGTACTACTGATGAAAAATACTAGTTAATGCTTGAGCAAACCTGTTAATATAGTTGAAGTTCTTGTTTTTCAATGAAACTAATGGTGCAATGGAAAAAAATTATATGTACTTATGGGTGATATACATATTATGGTTTTCTAATATTCTGCTGATGATTGAGAAGTGTTATAGAGCCGACAAGCAATTCTGTCACTTGTCTACAATGGTAGGTATTTTAAAATTCATGTGAAGACCAGCACCCTGAATAACTATCCCTTCGTAGTGTTTTTCTTTACCATTTCATAATCATAAAATAAGTACATTTTCTCACAATAACAATTTTAACTAATCAAAAGAACTATCTTCCTCATCTTTGTTACCAAAATACCATAATTTGATAAAATGTACACAAGTATAAGTACATAATGTATTAGTTATTGTGGAATCAATCATTTTTCCAAGAGTTCTTTTCTTCTATGTTGACCCCATTACTGCTGTTTTCATGTCTTTTGTGAAGGCCATTTGTCTGAATGTTGCCATTTTGATGAATGCCATTTGCTTTGACTGAGCCATTAACATTGCCATTTGCCACATGTTTGGTTCCATGAAGAACAGGAACATTCTTTTTCTTTGATTTGCCATAAGCATTCTTGTAGAAATCCCAGAAAAGAAACCAGAAGAGAACAGCATGGAAGCCAATCCACCACATGAAACCCTTTGGATAGTCACATTCACGGAACAAGAGTTGAAAAGAGTGCACAAAAATCATGATGAACTGTACCTAAATTCGTAAGAAAATATGTCAGAAAACAACCTATGGAAATAAGGAAGAATGACGTCTATCAAGAAAACTTTGATAATGCAAAAATTCTATTCACATTCCAACTCTTTGATTTATAATCTATGTTAGAACAAGTGTACATTAGTATTAAAGGTCAAATGCTAAGGATCAACCAATGTATGATTTTTATGTAACATTATTTTAAAGATGTATAGTGATAAATGTAGTAAAATAATTAATGTACACATCTACGACAGCTGTATTAAAGAAGAAAAAAAACTATAAAAGTTACTCTTAATTAATTAAGAGATATAAACTAAATTTCTCACATCTAGAGATCAGATAAACTTACCATTTGAATTGCAGTCATATACTTCTTCCACCATAAATACTTGTACATGTGTGGACCAATAGCAGCTACACCATAGTATATGTACATGAGAATATGTACAAAACTGTTGACAAAAGCAAAAAATGTGCTATGACCACCTAGATAAGAGAAATATAAATTGAAATATTTTTACTCAAACTGCTAATTATCAATTGATTGCTAAAAAATATTCTGTTTT